AAAACTAAATAAAATAACAATATTCATAATTAAATTAAAAAAATATAAAACTATAACAGCATACTATTTGTTCGGAATGTAGCATCAAATGAGATCACGTCTCCAAACTCCTTGTAATATAACTTATCAGTTTCATTCGCCCAAAACATTGCGTTTAACACACTATCAACACACTTATACTCAAATGTGTAATTCGGTAACTCATCTTTCCTCATGTTCATTTTGTCAACAACCAGCTGTGCATCTTTGTCACCTATAATGTTTCCCATCTTCCTTCTAAATTTTTTTATAATCAATGACTTCAGGGCCAACATTTTCATAACCCCTTGCAAACTAGCTTGTAACTTATGTGCCTTTGTTGCACCAATGTTAGATGTTGCAGAACGCACTATAAACTCATTGTCTTTATAACTAAGTTGTCGTGCACGTTTGGAATACCGTCTTTCTTCTTTAGTATCTAGGGGGTGGTTGTGCTTCTCTTCGAACTCATATATTTTACAAGCATTAGTTCCCATATGTAGTCGTTCAAACTTTATCAATGCCTTGCAGTCCGTGATTCTGAAGTTTAAGTTTCGTTTATTCCTACCATTTCCTTCGGGATGCAAAGTGTCAGTTGATCTATTAGGTATTTTACCCATTTTGTTGCACACTACATACCTTAATTTAGTGGTTTTGTCCCCAAACCTCGTTATTGTATTTAACCTGTCACCAAAACCTGCTTTATTTGCATATAATTTATACATTTCAACCGCCTCATCTAATGATTGATAAGTAGCATCTACATCTGACATAAATTCTTTAGGAACAATAGGTTTCCACAACTTTATTTTTCTACCAGGCGAGTCAACAACATTACTATTGAATGATTCTTCTTCAGAATCAGATCCATTTATACCTATTTTTTTAGACAACAAAACCAATATGCAAAAAAAACAAATTTATATTAATGTAAACAGTTCATCATGAGACATAATATACGTTCAGATTCATTCCTAATTCATGAACTAGATAACAATTTGATCATAATCAAAAGGTGTTTAACAATAATCAACATTGAAGTATTTAATCAATTGAAAATAATTAACAGGTGTACAACAATGAATAATTTACTTTATTGATGATTATAATACACGAATTGCAATAAAATAACAAAAAAAAACAACTTTATATTAATGTAAACAATTCATCATGGGACATAATATACATTATGATTCATTACTTATTCATGTGTATAACGATGAATCATATAATTCATTGTTGATTCTAACACACGAATCTATAAAATTAACAATATTAATGAAATGTGATTTTTATTTGCTAACAACATGTGTATAACAATGAATCATATACTTCATTGCTGATTATAATACACGAATTGAAAGAAAATAACAATATTAATGAAGTGTGATTTTTATTTGCTAAAAAGACAGGAGGGCTCCCACGACATGATTTGTATGTAAATGATATTGATAATGTTACCTTCACTCGCATGATCACAGTATTGATTTCTTCCGATTGATCATTATTGTCTTCATACTATTGATTTTTGTCGATTGATTGATTGCCATATTGATCATTACCATCGCTACTATCATCAAACCATTCCATCTTCGATTTTAATTTGGATGTTCAAACGTATCAGTTCTTATTTTGCATGATAATCGATGTTCTTGATGTAATTGTCATTCGACTAAGAATCTTCAATTGACTTTCTTGTTTGTTAGCTTTCAATTAGATAGAAACCGTAATCTCCAATCAACAATATTTATGGAATATCCCTTGATTGTAGGTACAAAATAATGGATAATATATGAATTATTAATTATATTAAATCAAAATTAGTCATTTGCCCTCCTTAAACGATTGGTTGATAGTTGTTCTCGCATTCTCAACCTTTAGGTGTTCTAATTTGATCCTACTCCTATATATATACAGGTTGGCGGGTCAAAAATCTCAACCAAAACCCGTCTATTTTCGGGTTTGGTCAATGTCGGGTTACGAGTTGGGTCGAGAGTTGCCACCCCTATTGTTCGCTTCTTCATTCCGATTTCTAAAATCATCGTTAGTTCTTGACTTCTTTATTAGAAAATCATCCATGCTTCTTCCTAATTCTCAAAATTGGGAATTATAAAAGGGAATATTAAGTTGGATATTTATCTTTTTCCCATATTGTTGGGTGGAAGAACATTTGAAGGGTTTATAAAGTTTTCCTTACATTTAAGGAATGGGCAAAGCCCACATGTGTGCTTATACATTCTGTGGATGTGAGACGTCAGTTCACAAAATGGCGCAATTCAGACACATTTTTCACTTCTAATGCCTGCATCATCGCTAGAAGTTGACGAGTTATTATTTATACCAAGGTTTTGGGTTGGACGAAACCATGTTGATTGTACATTGACTTCGTGGATATGGCCCAGGAAGCTATACGTGGCGAGCGGTGTTAGGGCTCCATTACAATTTCATATTTTTTGGAGTCTCCTACGGTTTTTGCAACTAAAAATACAACCTGCATGTAGTTGTATTCACCATCCAAAAAACCGAGAGTTCTTCCGGTTTCCAAATATTCTCTTTGTATTACTATTTAGTGGTTCTTCCCTTAATTGTTAGAATGAATGGTAATCTACATTATATCCTAAGTTTTAGGTTGAAAGGCTACAACCGTTGAGCAAAGTAAAAACTTTTAAAGACAAAAGTTTTTCCATGTAGTTTTGCACGTGAGGAATCTACGACTAAGCTATGTCACCATTAAATCTATTAAAAGAACAATGTCTAACATGGTTCTTTAAGACTTAGCCCAAATACTATTAGGTTGAAGCTTGTGCTTCATTTCCCCATCAAAGTTAATTGTCACCATTAAATCTATTAAAAGAACAACGTCACCATTGAATCACGCTTCAAAAAGAATTTGGATAATCATATTTTTGGAAAAAAAAAAGTTAGGCCTATGGAGACACACACAAAAAAAAAAAAAACCCTGCAAATTTGATATCTACGATTGTTATTTTTTTATTTTATTATTATTATTATTATTTTTTTTTATGGTTTCGATCCAAACTTTTTGAATTGAACCCATGTAAACGATATTTTTACAATTTTTTCAAAAGAAAAATAAAAAGAGACAAGTAAGCAAATGCAGGAAAACAAAAGAAAGAGAAGACGAGATAATAGAGAGCTATAGCCTATAGATTAGGCGGGATTATAGAAACACGTCAGGCGTAAATCGTAATACAACACGAAGCCCTCTTGCCCCAAACCTGTAGTCGTTCGGGGTCGGGGTCCGTTTCCCAAAAGCTCAGATGCCATTCCAAGCTTTCTCATCCTCCTCCTTCTTCTATCTCTTCAACCCCCAACCCTGGCTCCACCATTCTCCTCTAGAGGGCCCCACCACCCTCACCTTCTTCTTCTTCTCATCATCATCGTCGTCGTCGTCAACATCACCCTTATCGGATCTCCATTCCTTGTTCTTTAAGAGGTATATAAATATTTTCTTCAGATTTTATGTGTTCTTGCCTCAATTTGCTATATGGGTCATGTTACTTTTTTTGTCTTTTGTCCCATACACGCATGCGTTTTCGTTTTCGCTTTGAAATGTATTCAATCAATCATGCATTAATATGCATCATTAGCTTAATCAATTACTCGATATATAGACATTGTTTGTGTATGTGATTATGCTTTTCTTAGATTAATCATTAATTCATATTATCTTAATTTACGATTTAGGTTTCCTTTTTGTTGTTCGCCCCAAACAAATATGCCTTTCCCTTTCCTCTTTCCCCTTGAAGCATTTTCATCAAGACTACAAATTTATTCTGTGAAGTTATTATTATTATGCATGTTGTTACTTTTGTCTTGTACCCTCTCCTTTTGAGAAACTTTACGATAGGCATCATTTGCTTTTAGGAAAAGAATCATGCAAAAGAGAATAAGTGAATAACCCTTTAATTGCGCTACTTAATCTTCAATTTATAGTTTATTATATGCTTCTGTTTCTTTCAGAAATTGACTTTCTTGATATTTTTCTCTTACTTTCCTCTAGAAAGTGAAACTGTTTTGGTATGATGAAGGGTTGAATTTTGAGGGTAAAGCATGGGTTTTTATGATCATTTTCTTTAGCTTTTCAAAACCCACATTGCATTTTCAATATCATTCCTTTTTGTTTGAGAGAGTTTAGAAGAAAGTGATCAACAAGAATACAAGATTTGTCTTTTGTTTGTTTCACTGATGAGATTAAGGCATAGGAAATGCAATACCTTCTTGCTCTTCTCATCACAGAGTAGGACTCCCTCTTCATCTCTCTGTTCTTTAACTTGTTAAGTTGTATCTAAATAGTTCTTCAAATCCTTTTTTTCACAAAGTGTTTGTTACAATTTGGTGACATATGATTTGCTATAATTACTTGAATTTCAAAACATCTATTTAATATCTGATTACCGCATTATAATGCAGAAATCAGATGATTGATATGCACTATTCTAATGCGTTCGTGGGAGTTCTTCCTAAAATTCTTTTGCTTCCAAGTATGGACTCAATTTTCAAGTTTTCATAAACCAATTACACTAAAATTTTCCAATATTCATCACTAAATCCCACCCATTCAGTTACTGATCTATTCATGCACATACTTTTTGTTCAAAAAACAGGTTGATGAAGATGATTATCCTTGGAGACACCACAACAAGGACAACATTTTGGAATGGTTACATAAGTCTCTTACCAGAAAATCAGTATTAGCTCAATGTATTAGTGAGTGAAATTTGTTTAAAAACATATCGGGTTTACTATATCTAAAATTTATAAGCATGTAAAATTTCTTTTTTTTTTTTTTTTTTTTGAAATGTTGGATTTAGCTACTGCTATGGTTGGTCCACGACAATGGATTGGAGGAATTTTTGGCATGAAGCGTTCTGCAAGTAACAAATACATTGATTTTAAGTACACTAATGTTCAGGTATATCAAGACTCCATTAAAATTAGAAAGTTTTTTTGAATAGGTTGATCAATAATTTGTATGCCAAATTAGGTTTCTTTGGGAAAATCTAACAAGATTATCATGGAAATTTTTTTACAGGAAGCAAGATATCAGAAGCTTAGAGAACGTACAAACGTACCTTTTGATGAAACTCGCATTGAGCACCAGGTATATTTATTTCTCTAACTCCTAATTTGTTTTTTCAATTTTAATTTGACATGATTTCTTGTTTGATGCAATTATATGTTTTATTGACAGAAAGCCCTTGTAGAATTATGGAATTTAGCATATCCAAATGTTACACTTACAGGATTGATCTCTGATCAATGGAAGGAAATGGGGTGGCAGGGAGCTAATCCATCCACTGACTTTAGGTACATTTTATAAAAACTTTTTTACATTTTATAAAAGATTATATATTCATTTGATTATATTAATTATATTTTGTTTTGTCATAGGGGTTGTGGTTTTCTTTCACTTGAGAATTTGCTGTTCTTTGCAAAAACATTTCCAGTATGTTTCCTTTCTAACTACAACTTTTAGATATCATTCATGAAATAGCAATTTGAAAAACCAAATCCAATTTACTAATTAATAATATTTCAAAATGAAGGCTGCTTTTCGTAGGTTGCTATTGAAACAACCTGGAAAAAGGGCAGAATGGGAATATCCTTTTGCAATTGCTGGCATTAATATATCATTCATGTTAACTCAGATGTTGGAGTTGTATTCAGGTTTGTGAGTTGAAGTTTTAATAATAATAAGAAGAATTATTATTATTTCCTTTCTTTTTTTAGCTTATCTTAAATTTAACAGACTTATATATGATTTTGTTGGAAGTGCAGAAGTGAGTGTATATAATCTTACTAATGAATTCTGTTTTGCAGTTAAGCCTAGGTGGTCTTCACTGTGTCAATTTTGTAAAAATATTGGGAGGTAAGTATAAAGTATCATGAAGTACTACTTTTGAGTATTTTTTTTTTCAATCTTGAATCCTTCTACATTTAGAAAATATTAATAATGGATTCGATATTCATGGGAACAATTTATTTGTAGAGGACGATGAAGCCTTTGATGTTCTATATTGTATTGCTTTTGCAATGATGGATGCACAGTGGCTCGCAATGCATGCCTCATACATGGAGTTCAATGTAATCTCTCTCTCTCTCTCACACACACACACATACACACTCCCATACACAATCGTTAATACTTTGAATACTGTAACATGGTTCCTGTATTAAACAAACTGTTAATACTGTAAAAAGAATATGTTACAGTATTAACAGTTTAATGTGTTACAGTGTTCACAGTTTAATACTGTGAACGGGTATGTAAGAACCATGTTAGAGTTTAATACTGTAACATGGTTCTTGTATAAAAAGGTTGTAACCTTTTTGTAGTTCCTATTGGAACTATTCATATGTAATAATTATGTTCCTTTATAAAAATAAAAACAACAGGAAGTTCTACAAATTACACGAACACAATTGGAGAGAGAACTTGCACTGGAAGACATCCATAGAATACGAGATCTGCCAGCCTTCAACCTTCTGCACCATTAGTTTCTTATTTCTTGAGTTGCATATGATTGATTGTATAGTTAGATTCAGCATTCACATCTCCTTTTGATTAATGTTATCTGGTTCATTAGATTAAAGATTTTTACATGTTAGATTAATCTTATCGGCTTCTTTAATTACTCTTTCTCTTCTCTTGGCAACGTTAATCCCAAAGTACACCAAAAAAGTTTTCATTTTCAAACATCACGTTGACAAAAGGTTATCAAGTATATACAAATCAGTACATTCAATAATTTGTATTATAAAATGTCTAACCTTTTATTTTGTTAAACTCCTGTATACACACACACATGTGCACATTATAATCGATAATAAGAAAATAATGAACCAAACCAGGTGGTTTTGTTTCAAACAATATCTTTTACAAAGACTATCTACATATACTCTTTCTTTTCTTTCTCTTTCAAATCTTCTTTTTCCTTGCATTTATAAAATGTTTATCTTGAGAAACATAATTTGTATGGAAAATCAAAAAAATGTTTTTCTTATTCGAATCAAACAAAAACCGGATACAAGGAGAGACTTTATAGTGTATATCACCACTACTGTTTAAATCGTTGCAACCTTTGTAGCACTTGCAACCCTTCACAAATAACCAGCACGTTTCTTAAAGAAGGGACAATTACAATAACTAACTTAAACTACTCTAATAACTACCAAACCAACCAGAAATAACTGAAAAATAACTAGTTAATTACCACTTAAGTCTAGCTTACATTTCAATATAAAAAACGATGATGGATTAGGTTGTATGATTGCAATCTTCTAATTAAAAATTGATGTTGGAGCTCAATCATGCAACTTTTTTTTTGAAAAGCAAGCCAATATAAATTAAAATTTAAAAGTCAGCAGGGAGTTAAAATACAAAGAATTTACAATCATAAAGGTAAAAAGTAAAAACAACAAAATTATATATATATATATATATATATATATATATATATGTATGTATACACCAAGCTAAACATAGCATCAAGGAAAATCATCCGATGGAGAAAGCACCAAGACAACACATGTAATAGCAACTCACTATGAGGGCAACACCACGAGAGCAACGAAATTTATATGGCATTTGTAAACATTAGGCTCTAAAAATATTTTATCTCTGAAACATCAGGAGCAACATCGAGGTGATTGAGCTGGTATATATGGGTGCCATCATACCAACTCAATCAACCGGATGTTATTCTATAGAGGGAATGCTTCAGAGATAAAATTATTTAACATGTTAGATTAATGTTATCTGGTTATTACTCTTTCTTTTTAAGTGTAAAGAAAAAAGTCTTTAGTCAACACATTTAATCCTATATCATTAAGAAAATTGTGAAAACAAGAACAGAAACCAAAACAAAATCCTCTACGTTAGATTGGAACAACATGGTACATGGGTTTAAGGAACAGGATAAGATTTGTTTTTACACATGCACTTATAAGCCATGGGACATGTTTCTGCCTCTGCGATGGATGCACATACGAAGCTAACCATAACCAGTCTGCATGGGGAACACGATCCACAAGCATGCGAACAGTCTGGTAGCCTTGACCCAACCACTTGAACCGTATCTGATCCCCCTCCGGCTCCTCTTTGCTTCTCTGTGGCTCCATGGAGAGTTTGATGGTGATGTCCATGACCTGTTAATTCACGTGAGATCGATTAAACAAAAGTACAACACAGTGATGCACATGGAAATGACAAGTTGTACAAATACAACCCAATAATGCACATGGAAACATTCAGATGTGCATCGTAAGATTGTACCATACAACCTTGTCATGCATTATAAACGTACGTGAATGTTGCAAACCGATATGCCTTGCGGAGATGTCAAGAGGAAGAAGCAGAAGCAAGGAGAGAAACACAGCATTGCACAACGAAACCTTCATGGTTCTAATTAGATATGTGGGAGTTCGTTGTAGTCTTTGTGAGATCGATGAAGAAAATAAAGGTGGAGTCGAGGGGATTAGGGGTGGGGGTGGGGGTGGGTGATGAGATTTATACGGAATGGAAAGAAAGGTGGTATTGAAGCAAGTCACAGGCAATGGGGATCGAGGGGAAAAGGGTCACATGAAAGAGGGTGAATCACAGGGCTCGACCACGCTGCCATCAAATGGTTTATGATTTGCTTCACACTTTTATTTGAGCTTCAAATTTACTGAGGTAAATTGGTTCTTGTGACACGAACGAAGGACATTAAATGCAACTTGGATCCAATGTGACTGTGTTGTGTTGATTTAAAGACTTAGTTAAATACCAATCGATTTACATGTAAAGAGTTAGGATAGGACCACAAAAATGATTGGCCAAGTGAACCATGACAATTCAACCAAAAAGGGAACTTAATAATGTCACATTTTTGTAGCAAGGTACAAGATTTAATTAAGGCGGCTAGTAAACGTGATACCGGCAAACTCCAAAAAATAACATTGTAATGAAATGAACCACAAAAAAGAAAGTCGTTTTGCATGAAAAACTTTAAATGCAACTTAACCAATATTGTTGACGGAAGCATAGTTTTTGAAAGCAACAACCATATATGTCTCCTTCAAGGAGATCTGATAAACTTTATTTATATCATTGGTAAATGTTGTATACCCCTCCGCCCTCGCTATATAAACTTGATGAGGGTGTACTGAACGTGATTGAATTCTGTCTCACTTTCATTCCACAACTGAATGCGTACATATACAGGGAGATAGCTATAAAATAGGGAATTACAATCTTCTAATTTAGGAGAAATATTTTGACCAGAAAATATAATAAATACCCTAGAAATATACAACTAATAATGTACAACTAATATACAGTTAATACAGCCCCTCAGTCTGAGCAGGAGGGAGACCGGAGGCACAGACTGGATCGAAAATGAGTGAATAGTTGACGCGGTAGCCCTTTTGTGAAGATGTCTGCATACTGAAAATCTGCTGGGATGTGAAGAACTCTAATGTCCCCGATGCGAACTTTTTCTCTTACAAAATGGATATCGAGTTCCACATGCTTTGTATGTTGGTGTTGCACGGGATTTTCAGACAAATAGACTGTAGATATGTTGTCACAATAAACAATGGTTGCTTTGCGAGTTGGGACAAATAATTCCAGAAGTAAGTTGCGTAGCCAACTCGTTTCAGCAACAACATTCGCGACCTCACGATATTCTGCTTCGGCGCTTGATCGTGATATAGTATGTTGTCTTTTCGACGACCAAGATATCAAATTTTCCCCAAGAAAGACACAATAACCCGAAGTAGATCGTCGGAATCGGGCACCCCCCCCCCCCCCCCCCCCCCCCAATCGGCATCAGAGTAGGCAATAGGTTGACTCGATTTGGAGGGAGAGATATGAAGACCAAGCTGAATTGTGCCCCTAAGATATCGAAGAACTCGTTTTAGGAATTTGAAGTGGGGTTCCCGCGGGGCATCCATAAATAGACATATTTGTTGTACCGCATATGTCAGATCCGGTCTAGTAATAGTGAGATACTGTAAGTCACCCGCAAGTTTGCGATATAATGTTCCATCAGCTAGTAGTTTACCACTGGATGCGCTCAATTTTGGCGAGGTATCAACTGGTGTGGCACTTGGTTTGCAATTTGCCATGTGAGCGCGGGATAGAATGTCAGCGGCGTATGTTTCCTGAGACAAGACAGGAACAAACCACCATTTTGGCGTTTGACATGGATCCCAAGAAAGTGGTGAAGGGCCCCCAAATCAGACATAGCAAACTCACGAGAAAGTGTGGTGATGATGGTGGTGAGTAGCTTGTCAGAAGATGTGACATCCCCAAATTTCTCGGCCAAAAAAGACCGATTTAGGTTATGCTTTTAAAATAAAATCAGAGTAATTTTTCCAAAAGATGTTGCGGAATTTGTTCCCAAAACAAAATATAATAAAAATTTATCAAAACATTTCTTAAAGAAATATTTTCCATTTCATAACAAAACCTCGGGATGTCATGTTCCGATACAGATCAAAAGCATAACCTATATTATAAGCCTTACACCATTTATTTACATCTACTGGCCTATAATCCAAAATCTCTCGTTAAGTCATCCAACTATGCTCTTGCCACTACCTGTAATACAAGAAACTGAGTGGGTCAGACTTGGGAGCCTGATGAGCATATAGGGTTTTCAACCCACAAATAATAAATTTATTAATTTCATCATTCAACAATAAATTTATTATTTCATCAACCAAAAATAACCTGATCCCATTCCCCCATTCCCTCCCGCTATCCTCATTTTACGTCCCTAAAACAACTATCACAAGGGACCCAGTCTAAGGATTTTCATCAGGGCGACAACACTTCTTTGGGGGTTCCTCAACAATTTATGTCAAATAAGGCAACCATCGGGGTGACAACATTGCTTTCCTCAGCAATTTATGTCAACTAAGGCAACCAATGGGGTGACAACATTGCTTTCCTCCGCAATTTATTTCAAATAAGGCAAACATTGGAGTGACAACACTGCTTTTCCTCAGCAATTTATGTCAAATAGGCACGAAGTCACATTGTCGCCAAGGTTTATACAACAGGCACTAAGTCCATAGCTGCCAAGGTACTAAATCCATAGCTACCAACGTACATCTATACCGTACTAAATTCATATCTACCAACGTACATCTATACCGTACTTTCATCCCTCGTTCTTTATCTACCCATGTTTTACCCAACATATTTGAAGATAAAATATATATACATTTTAAATCATTTTAAACATGTATAAAACGTTCATTCAACATCCATCCCAAATAAACAAACAACATATATATACATAGCACATATTTTATATAAAATACTTTATATCTATCTGTAAGATGAAAGTAACTATACACTCACATGATTTAACGATAATCGGACAGCACTTCGTTTCCTAAAACGATCGTTTCCGATGAAACCGGGAGCTTTTAATGAAAAACCGGACCTTGTGAAGGTTGAGCTTCAAAACCGAAATGATAAATTTCTCGGGCTTCTCGGGCACTTCGGAACATATTTCGGGTGTTTGGTATGATCCCGGGGCTTCGGGGGAAGTTGAAATAGCAAAAATATGAAATTAGGGGTGAAAAAGTGGCAAAATTCCAACAAAAACCGGGAAGTCTCGCACCCTTTATATAGGTGCGAGCCTCGAATCCGAAGCAAGGAGAAGGAGACATGCGTCGCAGCAGCGAGGCTCGGAGGCGAGGGAAGGCAGGTGGCTCGGTTCGCAGGTCGACACGGGGAGGGCAGGTGGCGGTGCGAGGCTCGGACACGCAAGGGGCAACTGGCGTGCTTCGGACAGGCCACGGAGACGGCACGCGTCGGACGCCTATTGGACCGCGCATTGGGTAGCTCTCTGGCTCGGACACGCGTCAAGCATGCGAGATTCCGGGTGATGTGACCGGGTACTGTGCGATTTTTATCGGTTTTCAAGGTTTTCTCGATTTTTGAGCCAAAAACTTCCGAAATTCATAACTTTCGCATACGGGCTCCGTTTTTGACGTTCTTTATATGCACGCGTAGGCGAGAATATATTCTACAACTTTCGTTTAGACTTTGTCGGCTAATTTTGACCTTATTATTATTATTATTATTTTAACAGACCGGGACAGGAAAATCCGTTAAAAATTCATAACTTCTTCATCCGACGTCCGTTTTCGTCAGTCTTTTTACCGTTGTACTACTATTAACGAGACCTTAGATTCTCGTTTAGGTTGTGTTGGCTAAAAATCACTCGATCTAAAATTCGAGTTTTTAGCTGTCTACTGCTAAGCTGAAACTTAGAAAAATCATAACTTCCTCATACGAAGTCAGATTTGGGCGTTCTTTTTATGCACGCTCTCGGTTTAACGAACACTTCGACTTTCGTTTAGATTACTAAGGCTAAAAATCATTCTATTGTAAATTCACTATTTACGTCACGTAGGTGGAAAATCTATCGTACCATGCACAAGGAGCCTGTTTAAGGCCATAAAGTGATTTGCGTAACCTGAAAACATCATTAGGATAGGTGGCATCTGTGAAACCCATGGGTTGATATATGTAAACATTCTCGTGCAAGTCCCCATGAAGAAAAGCATTTTTGACGTCGAGTTGGTGTATTGTCCAACTCCGGGAAACCGCAAGACTAAGCACCGTTCTGATTGTGGTTGGTTTAACAACGGGACTAAAAGTATCTTCACAATCAATACCAACTTGTTGACATTTTCCATTAACGACTAACTGAGCTTTATACCTTTGTAGAGTGCCATTGGCATTGAATTTTATGTCTAAATAACCAATGGGACCGAATAATATTAGCATTGGAAGGCTGAGATACCAAGTCCCACGTGTGGTTGTCCATTAGAGCTCGGTATTCTTTGTTCATGGAATTACGCCAGTGAGGATCAGATAGGGCTTTTAGGTGAGAAGTGGGTACGGGTGAGATTGTGTGAGAGGCGGAAGTGTGGAGGTTAATTGGTTCCCGTGGTTTAAGTGAACCAGACCGGGAGCGGGTTGTCATGGGATGGGTGTTGGTAGGTAGGGGGTGGGGGGTGGGGGGGTTGATGTGACAGAAAGAGGGGTTGGTGGTGATATAGAGTTTGGGGTAGTACTGGAGAGTGGTGTAGGTGAGGGGTTGATAGGCTGGGCAGGAAGTGGGTTTGCTACAGTGGTTGAAGAGGGAACAGGAGGTGTGGGCTTGTTTCGGTGGTGGTAAGTGTGGATGAGTGGCGGAGGGGGAGGGGGCGGTGGTGGTGGTGGCGGGATGGAAGGGGTGAGTGGTGTGACAGACAGTGTAGATGAGGCGGGGATGTTAGGTGTAGGATCAAATAAGGTGGGAGATGGGGTAGACTTGAGGAAGGAGTAGTCTATGGTTGTGGGTATCGATTTATTTGCGAGAGGAAAAGAGGTTTCATCGAATTTTACATGACGGGATAAAATCATCTTGCCCGTAGAGAGGTCAAGGCACCGATAGCCACAAAAATGGGCCGGATAAC